AAAGCAGAGACACGTGACACTGTGGAAACTGTGTGTTTCTAAGTGGATTCGTTGCCTCCAAGATAAGCTGTGTAAAACACTCGGATGCAGCGAAAACCTTTGAGCGCACAGGCCTGTGCGCGCAATTACGCATGACAAAATGCGGGTTACTTCAAAAAATCATGAACAATAATGAACAGGGGTTCTCCAAAAAATTATAACACCAACATCTGTGCTTCTCGGCACACTCATTGTCTATTTACTTAACGCCACTCTCAGCTTATCAGTTTCTAATCATGCCGCATGGAGGAGACGGTGGCACTTTGGACGCAGGACGCGCACAGTTACTGCATGACAAACCAGTGTCATCTCTTCCCTTCATAAGAAAATACCACATGAACGAGCGAAGTATATTTCAGTGCTCTGACAACACTAACATGTCCGTTACAAGCTCTGAGCGATGACTGAACGGCTTTGTCCAATAACTGTCAAACACTTCAGTTCACTTCATCTCTCTCATTCAGGCTCAGAGCAACACTTTTTAAAGAAATCCAGAAAATTAGTTCATTAATGTGAATAATTTTGATTTAAAAGGACCTCACATCTCCAGATACATTTTAAGCAGCAACCTCAGCACACAGAGCAACGGGCCCTGGTTTGTTTACACCTGCGCGTGCTGACGTCCTGACGTTTGCTGTGAAACGTTCCATCGTCTCCATGGTGCACAAGAAAAGCATCATTGGGATCCTCATTGGCATCGTTCAAAAATGGCATAGTCGCCATCTTTTCCCCATAATCAACAACGAATTTACCAAATTCAATCCCCTCAAACAAAAATAACAGCGTCACTACACAGTTATTAACACCTTCCACACCCGCCCAAATTCACTATACTCTTATCATATAATAATAAATCATTTTACACCAAGCAAACCTCCAATATCACCAAAAACTCTTTTCCTAACAGATCGATCAACATTTCAACATTTTATTAATTGTCTATCTTTAGGCCTACATTTAACAATTCACCATAATTAAATACACATTTTGTGTTGAAATTCCCTTTTAAGGATTTAAGCAACATTAATAAATAGGCTAAATTTACCATGACATTAAAATATGTCTTACCGGCAAAGGAGGCGATCCAACGCCTGACTCTGGACAGCAGTGGCTCCACGACGGGGGGTCCGGACGCCATTTTCCAACAGGTAGGTAGCAGATGTAGTTTTCCTGGTAGATAGATAGATAAATACTTTAATTTGTGGTCGTGTAGAAAGATACTTTAATTTGTGGCTGTGGGGAAATCAGTTTGCAACAATTCACAAAGGCATTTTGAAACTCAGCAGGGCAGCCACAGAGCAGCGCCCAGGAAGGAGCAATGAGATTCTCACCTGTGAGGTTTTGAGTTTCTCAGATCAGGTATCCAACAGTTTGTTCAGTAGAAATTGTCTCCAATATTTCAGCTTTTCAGCAGAAGGTTTTGCAGGTAAACTTGTGTCAAGTCCGAGTGCAAATGTGACATTCAGAAAGGCCTTGCAGCTTTTATAGGGACACCGTTCTGTTTCCATGACTCTTACTGACGCTCGACGCAGTGTATATATGATTTAAATGTTTGGATTCAACTGTGTGCACAGTGTAGTGATGTCTGTCTGTGTTGCCTCTGCAGAAACTCCTGCAGCACCTGATGCGTCTGGCTGTATAATGATGAGCACGTGCAGCCAGACCGCTGCAGTGCACCTTGTTATTGTATAAAGTTGTGGTTCATATGTGCAAATCATTTTCAGTTTTTTTCCTGTATTTTCAAATAGCAAGATGTCAAAACCATTTACCTATTTAACACTGTGGGAGATTAACTAACCATTTTAGAAAAAAAAAAATAGATCAAGGGTTCTAAAAGTCTCAAAGGAAAAGTGCACTCAATATGACTTTTATGACATAATGTGACATTTTAATGAATTTCTTATTAAATACTATACCATGTTTTTTTCCCTGCATTTTTATGACATACTAACGCTTAACTAAACTACTCAACAGTGTCACAGCTTACATAACAATATGGGGGGCAATATATCTTAGAATTTCTGCCTAGATGTAAAAACAGTTGAATGAAGAAATAACTACAAAGCAAAATAACTCAGTAAAATCAAGGCAACATTCAACTGTAATCTGAAATGAGTACCAAATATAACTGATCCAACAGCCAGCTGTGGAGTTGCAATAATTGTATTGAACGATGATCTGATTGTTGAATGATAAGATCTTTGCTTGGTACAGTTGTCTAAAGCTCCCTACATTCATATCTGGACATGTCCATTCTCTCTATCTTAAATTCGAAGATGCAGTCCGTTTATGTTTAGGCCTATAGGACCACTTTTGGAAATTTACTTTATAGTTATAGTCATGAATAAAATAAGAACAATGAAATTACTCAGGTTTAATGTTGGAGGACAAAGTTGCCTTCAGCCAACACAAAGATTAAACAGACAGAAATGAAAAGGAACCAATATATTAACAAAATAAAGTTCCAGTCAGAGATCATTGGGAGATCTCAGAAAATATCGCATGAAGTCACCTAATTATCTTAAACTGACTTGATTACAGGCTCTGATCCAGTATTTTGAATTTTACATTGCAGACCAACTCTGGAATATGTTTCATTAATGCTTTTAATTCAAACAAATTATGTTGCTTTATGTCAGTAATTTAACAGTATGTTGATGCTGAAGCTTGTGTAACCTCTTTCCTCACTCAGTGTTACAGATCAAATGATCTTTAGACTCATAACCTTTAGAAAGTCACTTTTCTGATTTTGTCTTACTTTTAAGACACTCAGAGGGGGAAAAGGAAATTGGGTATTTTAACTTTTTACTTGTTTGTTTTTGAGTGTCTAGTTAGGAAGGTCACGGGTCATTGTCTATTCGTGCTACACCAGAGGGTCTTGGGAATAAAAGTCTTCAGTTGCACTGAGGAAGTTGTTGCCTCGTTCTGTCAAGATCCAACATCACACAGCAACTCTGCTCCCTTCTGACAGCATGTGATGAATTCCACAGTGTGCTGCTCTCACCACCTACTGTACATTAGGGTCTGAACACAAGATGAGCAGAAAATACAGCAGATTATGCTTTATACCTCACCATTGCATTTTATTTAGAAAAACAAGTGTGTGATTAAATATGACTCATGTAGAATGTTATCTAGAAAACCTCCACATGATGGGAGTGTTTTAACTTGACTTACTTTTTTATTAATAATAAACTTTTGCCAACAGATGGCACCAAAGTCTCATTTGCAGTGCTGCAAGTCTGATGGACTTTGATTTCTCTCCCAAATGGCCTAAAATCCATCTCCCCAACACCTGGAGACTAGGTGAAACTGTGACATTAACTCAGACTGCTGACTGTGTTTAAAGTAAGACGGTAATGTTGCAGACTGTCACCTGTGACCTAACTTCACACCTTCAATCTGTTGCTCATCATCAGAGGGATAAGTCCAGGAGCAGGAAGGGTGAGAAATTCTTCCTCTCACCTCCTGTTAAAGTGTGTGATTATTATGGTTTACCATCCCACTGAGACCTAAAAGATTTCTATTCAACATGAGAGCATTAGAACATGTAAGAAAGTATTTTTGTAAATTCAACATTGATATAAAAGTATGTTTGCTAAAATCGGTCTAATTTGTATGCAGTATGAAATTATAAATGTTATTAAGCATAGATAAACAAGTTTTAACCACAAAATTTCATGAGGTTTTGTACCTTGTCCACGTTTGTGTCAGGATCAGCTGTTGACTGAGTCAGCAGAGATGGCTGCCATCTTGTTTTCAGATGGATTAGTGTATTGTGGCCTTGCTACCACTAGGTGACGCATAAAACTGTCCACAAACGAGGACAACAGGTCTAAGTTAACATAAAGTTAGCTACATAAGCTAAACCTGAATGTGGCAGCTATGTCACAAATAGGCCTACGTTAACTATATACGTTTTTCCTTTTCCTCAGAGTGACGGTAAGACGTTAGCTCTAAGCTAAACAAATTAAACAAAATTGGTGTATGGTTGCGTCTCACCCGTTAGCTGTAAGTGCAGACAGACGAAGCCAGTGTTAAGCTAGAATGTCAAGCTGAACTTCTGAATAAAAGAATAAAATTTTATTGACGAACAGCTGGGTCGTTTTCACGCCTCAGATTTTCTGTGTGCACAATGTAATGTGTCGCAGTTACACCCATTTTACAAACTGCATATCTACTTCCTGTCAAGCCTACAGATTCCTGCTGCACACAGATGCATCACCAGGTGCAGCACCAATTTACATACTGTTGCTCACTGGTTCCCTGTGTGTGTGTCCAGATCCCCACTAGGGGTCGCCAAAGATTCACAGGGGTTTGCAAGATCTTCTTGAGCTTGAGGAATGTGAGAAAACCTTTTTCTCAGCATTTCATGTTTAGTTTTTTGTTTTTTTGTTTTTATTGTTTATTTTTTAAGTTTATATTATAATATATATTAATTAAAACTATTAAGACCTGAACACAAGCTATATTCACAGCCTTCAAACAACCAAAGAGCTAATAGAAAAATGGCAAAGTGTCAGGTGGAAGAACACACTGAAATTTTCCGAAAAACAACCCAATTAAGTCGGTATGATTGCTTAAAATCTAAAAATACATAACACAGACAGAGAATTATATAAATTTACTAAAGATATAAGAAAAACTCATCTCTGATTTAATATTCACAGGAAATAATCTGTTCAAGATTTATCTAAATCTCCCATTTAACACAAATTTCCTGCAGTTACTTAAGTTCACTATTTAGGTTAATTGTAAAGTTTATCAGTTGTACTGTACTGGTATTGTTATGCATTGAATGTGATATGAAATATGTCACTTAGGGCTCCTCAGATTACTCAGTGATAGATAAGGTGCCCCTTAAGGAAGAAGGTTGTTAACCACTGTTGTAGCTGAGGCACTTTGTTGCTGTGAGAGAATGATTTGCAATGAAGGCAGAAAAAGGCCACATAAACAATACATCAAAATTAATTCATTTATTTGTTTATCAAATGCACAAGCTGGATATATTGATTGAAGGCAGGGAAGAAAGGCATACATTTAGCAAGACATGCCAACACTTCAAACCCACAGGTAACAAGAGAAGATTAACAAGAGACGCCACTGTAGATGACAGTCTAAAAATACAAAATATATATTTTTGTTGCAGAGACAGTCAGAGGTGTTGATTAAACTTCATACAAACGATTCAGGCGACAAAGCAAAAGCATAAAGGTGCCAAATGTCTGACAACCACTTATATCTCAGCAACTTCTAACTTCTAAGCCATTTGCAGAGGTACAAAAAGGTAGGATAGTTGTTGCTGGAATTGCTGGTACATTTGTTTAAAATGTTACTGTACAGGAGGAAAGTATTGATATATGCCACAGTGGAAAACCTCACCAACACTGACTGTAAAGCACTCAACAGTATTTACACTAAGCAACACAAAGTACAGCTCCAAAAATGACTGTCATGATAAATCAACACCTGTGACAATCAACAATAACCCAAACCAGTATTACTGTAGAGCTGATGCATTGTGTTGTAAGGTATTTGTTATTTTGCTCCTGAGGAAAGTGCTGCGTTACCGACTAGCTTACAGTCCCTACACATGGCTTTGGTTTACAGAGAAAGGCGCTTGGCAGAGGCATTAATCTTACATTCATAGCCTATCTATTGCAGTAAAGCCGAGATGGCAGCAAAGGCACAGAGCTGAAACAGAACACAGAATCTTCTTCACGGCGAGGAAGCAAACAAGATATTTTATGTACGAAGGCAAAATAGAAAGCAGGAAAGAAATGCATCAAATAAGAAAGAAAAGGAAATCTGCTAAAGCTGTCTTGACATTGAAATGGATCGAGTCAAAAGAATCAAAAATTATACAACTGATTCTATAAATCTACATGATACTGTCGCTGTGTGTAGAACAGACATGTACAGGAGAGACACACTGTGTTGTCACTTTGGAAGAACGTACATTTTTCTGTTTTGATCTGCAGCTGGCTGAAACAGTGTCTTTTAAAAGTGTGAAAATCACATCAAAAAAACACAGCCAGTGTTTCTCCAGCATTAGTTAATACACTGTACACACCCATATATAGTAAAGCAAGCAGAATATGTAATAAAATACGAGACACACCTCAGCTCTATTTACAAAAATAATTTGATGGAGGTTTGTTTGCTCCAAAATTGGTATATGACAAGAATAAAAAGCAAAAGCTGAATACACTGTAAATCATCCGAGCTTCATTTATAATTAGCACTCTACAAATAACTGATACTGAAACAAACGCTTCCCTTTTTAATGCTATCGCAGCTAGAGTATAAAAAGACACTTAAATACATAGTTTACACACACTAGGTCATTTCTGTGCATAAAGCAGTACAAACTGATTCTTAACAACACACACTGTGTGTCAGGATTTTTAAAAGTCAGTCGTTTTTCCTTGTGAATTTTCCGTTAAAAACAATTTTTCCTACACATAAAAAAATCCAGAAATGCAAGGGCTGACTAAAGATCATGAATGCACAAGGAGAAATTCTGCAGTGATTTAATGTGTCATTTTGGGTGTTTAACAATTCAAGATTAGTAGTTCCTAAAAAAAACAGACATAGCAGTCGGTTGCAGAGAGACAGTACATAAAAGGAAACAGTGGAGGTAGATATGGTGTCTCTACAACCAGCCTATCTGTGCGTGTGTGTGTGTCTTTATGAATAACTGGGCTCTGAAATACCTGGTATATCTGGTATTCAGATGTTCAAATGCTTTAGATTATCTTTGATTGTGTGCTTTCTTTTAAAGGTATATATTTATAGCTTTTGCCAGAGGGATTACAGTAGAAACAGCACAATATACTAAAAGTTTGCGTCATTTAGCAGACTTTTGGAACAATACTGAAGTAGAAAGTGCAACTTTCCTAATATCTTTAAGCTGTTCTTTGGTGTTAGCGAAAGATTGTGATGACTATCAGAAATCTTTGAAAACTATGTAACAGTGTTTCAAGTACCGTGATATCTGCAGTCTGACACACAGGCCTTACCAGGATGTGTGCGTGCACGTGTGAGTGAAATCTATGGCTTTAAATCACACTGATTTGGCTCTTTGACACTAAACCAAAATAAATAAACAGCAACAAATGATGATGACACATCTCTTCCCAAATCACAAGGAACTGAAAGTCTAACTCTGAGTCATAACAAAGCATGAGGGATCCTATTTGCTCTGTGGTAATGGTGGTTTGTGGTGAGCAAAATGTGCAACAGCAATGACCGAACACAAAACACTGGAAATATCAAAACAAATTATATATATGTGGATGTGTAAATTGCTGGTGCTCACTTTGAAGGCGCGTACAAAAATAATTCCTACAATTTCCCGAATCCACGTCTCCGTTGTGTAGCTCTAAGCTTCCACAGCAGCGACGCCGTTGCTGTGAGGTTTGTAGCCGTTGGACTCCGTGTCGGTGAGTGCCTGCATCTCCTGTCCGGCCGCCTGCTTGTCTCTGGCTTCCTTTTCCCTCACCAGCTGTCTGCGGTGGTAGAACAGGTAACCCGGCAACAGGAAGCCAGCCAACGAGAAGATGAGCAGGCCGAGGTTGATCTGTGGGATAGTTGGGTGACAGAGATGGAAAGTTACAGTCACAGTCGAACAGTTCCTGGTGGGCGCCAGAGTTTAGTTTGTCACTTGCTGCATGTGTGTGGAATTCAAGGTTCCTTCATGTTATCCATGTGTTATGTGCAGCAGCCTGTTCCCTTTCTCTATGTCAGCCTGGTCTCCCTCCTCCCTCTGCACTGCTGTGCACCTGAGTGCAATCTGCACTCAGGTGGAGAGAGGAGGAGGTGATAAGAGGGACAGGGAGTGTAGAGACAGGGAAGGCATGGCACATGGCTCACAAATAGCAGATCAGGCAGTGAGGGGTCTTTTTTTCTTCCTCTGTTGTTTTCTCTCCCCAAACAGGTTCTTTTCCCCCATGCTCATTTAGGTGCTAGGGTTTTGTTGTGTTAGTTTGGGCTGGAGATTGCCGGTAGTCACGTTATTTTGTTTTCTCTAGGTTTAATTCATGTTTTAGGTAGTTAAGGGGGAGACGCTGGGAGCGACGGCCCACTGGCTGGTTGGCCCAGCGTCTTCCCTCCTTTTGTTCCCTTTGGCCGGGGTCTCCAGTTCCTTTTTGTTTTCCTTTAGTTTGTTGATGCTTTTGTTTAATACTTGGGGTTACACAATAAAGCTGGAGAGTAAACTGTTAACTTTGGTGGGGCGTCCTCTCTTTTTATATGTTACAGCCTCCTGCCCCTATTGAGCCGGGTTTGTTCCTGTTTGTATGGAGGCTGTAACACCATTTTAAAAGTCCATACTTTTCTGGACTAAAACTTCCAGACTTCTCTGTATTTTTTAAATCATATTTGACAATTGAGTATACATAGATTTTTATTTATTTTTCTTAATTTATTTAAGAAAAGGGACAGTGTGCATTAATCAACATTTTAACAAAAAATCAATGAATTGAAAAAAATCAAATTATTTTATTTTCAAGGCCTATGTGCAGCTTTGTTCATTCACTGTATCCATGGAGGCGACAATAAATGCAGCTGTAAAGGTTTCCTTATGCAGAAAATACAGTCTGTTTACTTTTCTGATAACTGCAGAGCTGCATAACTCAAATATTTATTCAAGCTTAATATTTGTGATATGTAATAATATGTACACAATTTAAAAATATTGCCCTATTTTCTTTCTTGGTTTTGTGGTATTTTATTTTACCGCCCATCTCGTGTGTTTTTCCTTTTTGTCTTGACGACTGTTGCTGTTGTGTTGTTGTATTGTTGTGTATGTTTGTTGAAAAAAGAAAAAAAAAAAAAGATCAAAAAAAGAAATTCCAAATTTTAGTCTGGAACCTAAAAGATTTTTATATACTCTTTTCTTTTTTCCATACTTATCCAGACATGAAAATCAAACTCCATACTTTTCTATAATGTGTAGGAACCCCAGGAGTTATAGATAAGTGCGTCTCCTCACCCAGTAGGGGTCTCCTTTCAGCGGTCCGACCATGGCGATGAAGAGCGGCTGCTGCAGCAGAGCGATCACAGCGCTGATCATGGACTGGAGGCCTGTCAGGGTGCCAAAGTGGTTGGATGGGTAGCTGTGGGAGAGACACATGTGGTTACCAATGGTTTGACACAGCAAATTAAATGACACAGAGCCCCAGATTAGATGATAAAATGTCAAAACAAATACGCTGCTGCTTCTGTGGTATAAAGTTATGATGGGAAACCATGATTGTTGCCAGAGGAACCTAAAATTAAATCCACTAAATGGATTTTAGCCACCACTGAAGTTATTATTTCTACCTGTGCTTTTCCTACTGTGTCAAGTCACGATATCTTCTGTGAAATAGACCTATTGTTTGAGAGTAGACTATCAAACTGTTCGTAGATTCTGTTGAATGGTAGCAGTGGTGTGGTTGTTTAACACACATAATGCAGCATCCCCTGCTTGTGTCACCACATCTGGTTGCTTTTATCACACTGTAAAGTGCTGCTTTATATTTGGTGTTTATGTGGTGCTGGGAAACAAATCTAAGTGGGCCTGGACTCAAATATTACACTGTTATTAAGTTAAATGTTTATTATCTTATTAATGAACTGGAAACTAGGGGCAAACATTACACCCCTTAGGTTATGTTTTCCCAACTCCTCTGAGATGTGTGTGTTAGAGAGAGTGTCAGATGATGTGGCGGACAATGGATTAGCAGTGCAGCACTCACACAACAGCATAAAGGCCTCCGCAGCAGGAATGGATGAAGCCTCTGACCATCGTGTGGAGGATGAAGGTCAAGATCTGAGGAAGAGAAAAGAAAACACAATAAATAGATCTGAGCGTTGGGACTATGTATTCTTTATATGTGTGTTTGTGTGTGTGTGTTACCTGTAGAGGCAGGCTGTCTATGAGGCAGCAGCATCCGAAGGCGATCAGCAGCAGGTTGGTGAGAATGAAGGCCCTCATGGCGTTGGTCACTTTCTGGATCTTACGGTCTCTCTTGGGAATGCTGGTCTTTCTGATGGGGCACACACACAGAGGTGTTTTTAAAGGATATATACAGTTGATGTCAGTCTGCACGCCCCCAGTTTGGAAAGGCGGGCTGGAGTCTGATATGGAAGCTAAGCAATCTACTGTGTCATGTCTGTCACACACAATATGTTACAGAGATGCATATCAGCCAATTTTATCTTTCCTTGTAAATCAATACCTGAAATATTTTCTAGTTTCAGAGTTTTTTTTAAGCTAAAAATATACTTCCTGGTTTTCTCAACCTCTTCCCCAAAGGGTATCAGTTTTGGACACGTGAGGAATGTGTGCGAACAGCATACTGTTGATTCTGCCATTTTTTAATCGTTACATCTCACTGCATGTACCTCTGATCTGTGGATGAGGGGACGGGCTTCTCCTCTTCACACTCCTTCATCTTCCAGTCCATGATGTATCCAATCAGAGGACACGTGACCAGGCAGAGCAGCTGCAGCGTGCCGAAAATGGACGAGTAGAAACTCACTGAAGGAGAGCACAATAAATCAAATCATGAAGAAGACAAGTGAAACTGTATGCCAGACAAGTTGCATACAGTGTTAAAATTTAAAGCTGCATTATGACACTACTCACCGTTCTCTTCTGCCTCAATCACCAGCTGTTCAGATGCTGAAATATAAAAACAAACACCCACTCTGTCAGTAATTTTTAGACGTCCTTAATAACATACAATACATTTTAAAAAGCCCCAGTTACGGTTTGCTGGGAACGTGTTCCAGGGTTTGACACTCACGATGCTCTTCGCCGTGGGTGACCATAAACTCCAGCATCTTGTTCATTGCCCCCATGAAGAAGATGATCCTCAGTTGGGACATTCCCATTGTAACCAGACTCCACAGGAAGATGGGAGAGAACACAGATCGTCGAAAGGGAGGAGTTTCTGAGAGGGAAGGAGACAGTTTGTTCACGGCGGGTGATTAGGATTTCTTTCTTATCAGAGTTTAAGTGTATAGGGTGTAGGATATCCAGTCTGTCACATCCAACTGAGGGGAGCCCCTTTACTTTCTTGTGACCCCTCAGATACATCTTGTGAAGTCACCTGAGGGGTCACAAGTTGATGAACAGGACAGACAAAAAAGAAAAGCTAATTTCTGTAAAACATAGACATCAGACTTCTCTTGCTAATTATATGTGAGAAGAAAGAATCACATTTGGCTGAATTTATTCAAACCCCGTTGACATATGCCACCTGATGTCTTAAGTCAACACAGTTTTGTCAAGCCAAATAAAAAAGACTGGGTATAAAGTAAATGGCTGGGAGCATAACTGCTGAGTGTGTTTGTTGACTCACTGGGTGCAGCGTCAGGTCCATTAGGAAGTTTCTCTGTTGAGTGTTTGATGTCTCCATTTTTCTGGCTCAGTCTCTCTCCGACAACCTTCTGTTCAGATGAAGGCACCTCGGTCAGTGTGAGGATCTTACTATTAAATAAAAACACAAACACGTTGAGGTAGGAGTGAAGGAGCAGTGTTCAGATAAACATTTGTGTCTCTGGAAAAGAGATGAAGCAACAAAACCTGCCGGACACACTCACCTGTAGTCTACCTCATCAGGTGTTGGGAAGCCTTCTGTCGGCCAGTTGATGAAACAGTTGAGAAAGACAATTCCGGCAAGACCTGCCCACATCCACATGATGACATGGAAGGATACACCTGCATCGTAAATCAGCTGGGAAAAAAGAGAGAAGGGGAGAAAGAGGGTTTTTTTATTGTTTAAGTAACTTGCACTTGCTTTCAATGTTGTATTAACTGATGAATGTTTGGCCACTTGAGGGCAGCAGAGAAAGCTACTACAGTTGTTATGGTGAACATGTGTACAATTAACATTTACCTTGACTCCAGGGAAGGTGACAGCAGAGGAGGCGTAGGAGCCGATCATCAGAGACATGACGGTGGAGCTTAGAGCACCAAACATGTTGGGGAGCTGCAGGGACAGAGGAGCAGATACAATACATGTCAGTTATTATGCTAATCAAACATGTTTCTCTAGACCTCAGCAGTGTGACACACATCACAACTGAATTTAATATGAGCTGAGTCAAAACTGTAGTTTAATCAAGCTGCAGTGTGTTACTTGGACCAGCAGAGGGCAGACAGCCACTGTGTGTCAGCAGCATGAAGCACACTGGAGCTCCCTTTCACCAAGACACCGTGACCTGTTCCTACCTCTTAAGTTTGCACCCAGTCACACTTCTCTCCCCCCACGGAGCAGACTCATTAAAAAAATATTAGTTTCCATGTCATGAGGAAACAAGAAACAAAGTCATGACCCAGTTTGGGTCCTGACCCCATAGTTAAAACACAGACTAAGCTATACTTAGACACACGCCCATCGTCTTTATTCTTGCTTTTTCAACAAATTCTTTGAGTTAGGATTAAAAATGTAGGAGCCGATGTATAGCCACCTCTTGTTGAACTTCAGAGGGCTCTGTGTACCCAGCGTGGGGGCATGCATGACACACGGCCAAAAGGGAGCAAGGTGGTGGGCACCAGGCACCAACACACCATATATTAGGTCGACCTATTTACAGTAGTAAGAAGCTTAGTGAACATAACAATGACCTATTGTGCTGCCAGCACACCCAGCGTTGTTTGATTAGAGTTTTAAATGGGTCAATCACGATTATAAAATCACATGTGTGGGATTTTAGGTGTGCTGCATGACAAGCTCGCTATTCTCACTCAACACTGACCATGGTTTTCCGAACTACTGCTGGCGTCACATAATCTTCCCGCTGGGTCAGAGTTCACCATATGGTGTCAGTTTCCCTTTTTGTCCCAAGCTTTGCCTTTTCCCCACTGATTCACTGAGGTTGGACCAAATTATGTCAAGTCAGAGTTGGGAAATTGGGAAGGCATCGGCAATGATTCACTTTTTCATTTTTAGCAATTAATGAAAACAATGAACCAACCAATTCATACATTTATTCATTCATTCATTTAAGATTATGTTTGACTTCGTTGGATAGACTGACGGTAAAGTTTCAGAAAGAAAGCATGGGAAAAAGCTGCAACATGGATTCTGCAGCGAATATGGTATGCATCTTGACCTTTGGGTCACATGAATTCAGACATTTATGAGTCTAACTCTGACACACAGATCTTTCATTTGCATGCTGCAAAGTAGATGAAGGAAGGGTGGAGTGATGAATGCATAGAGGTGGAGGGATGTGAAATAATGACAATTCTGATTACAAATCTACAAACTTTGCTGACAAATGCATGTCAAAGTATTTCAGTGTCTGTTAAAGCTCTTTAAAAATTAATTTAACTGATTTCAGGCCACTTGGGGGCTGCACGACATATTGACATATTATCACGTTTTAAAGTTGATAAAAATTAATGTTTGGGGCCGCCTGATTACTTTAACTATTTAATCTCCTTTTGGCCTGCACCAACTAATGAGGGAAACTGGCTGTTTAGCTGCAAAATGCTCCACAGTGTTCACCAGCTAACCGCTAACCTTGCCGTTTGGTGCTGTGCAGGTAGCGTACAGTGGAATTTCTAATGTCCTTTATTGAAAAAGATGACAGCAGTGAGAGTAAACCAAAAGTTGGGGGCCTGGAAACCAAAACAATGCGATGAAAATGTTTCATAGAGATGAGGGAAACTGCAGTCAGAGTCAGGTAATTTTGTCTGTGGGTGTGTTTTTACAAGCGGCCCCTATCCTTTATCATCTGATCCATTGTTAATACAAAAATACTGAATGACGTTTAGAGCATTAATATCTCAGCAAACAACTATTTGCTATGTAAAGATAGGTGGAATAATGGCGTCCTGAGCAAAAGAAGAAGTCATGCTCCCTAAGCGTCTTTTAATCCAAACTTCTCTGTTTGTTGTTGTACTAGAAGGTCCCACTGCGCATTGATGTTAGTGCATGTGAGTCCCTGTGTGTGTATCCCACTGGCTAGCTAATGGCAACCACTCTGTACTGCACTCATACGGCGGTACGTAGCACCCACTGTTTGGTTTCCTTCCAGGGTAACACCTTTAGCTCTATCAGCACTGTGGCTGATGTTAGCACTGTTAGCACTATTAGCTGCTAGCCATGAGTAGGTATAACTGCAGGAACAGCTTCATGACCAAGCCTCCACCATACCTCCAAGTCAGTCCACCATTAGCCCCCTTCACTCCCTGGCCTGGAAGCAGAAGTCCAGATGAAATTTCTAAGTTAGCAATTAGCTAGCGATGAGGTATTGAGAGGTGGTTATGGCTAGGGTAATGGGAAGGCTACATCTCATTATTTATGCTAATGCTAAGTTAGCGATTAGCTAACATTACCTAGGAAGTATGGTATAAGAGAAGCAATTAATGTTCAATTAAGGGTAATGGAAAGGGTTACATCTCATTACTTATGAAGTGAATCACATCTTGATGCATTATGAATTATACAGTGTATTATTTTGTCTTGTATTTGTGGTTGGCGCTTTTTGTTAGGGATTTGTCATGTCCTCTACAAACGAAATGTGTCTGCAGCTATACATGTCTTGCTAGCCGCCAGTTCAGCTACCTCCATGCTGAAAGCCATGTGCAGGAAAGACTGTGAATCATAGATATGTCCTGAATGTTGTAGCATCTTTAAGTATAATGTCTCATTATCTGTTTCTAATTATCATGGGACTGTATGTTTATCACAAATGCTTGTTGTTTATAGTCCTGCGTTTAAACAGATCGCATTTGCAGGGGACTTCCTGGTGGGTCAGAGACCATAAAATAACTTCTGAGAAAGGCTTTCCAGAGCTTTATTACCCCATATGTACATTCCAAGAGCTGCTTTCATCTCGAGTTCAGCAAGATGTAAAGGTGGGAGATGAAGACGAGAACTAATGTATGTTTCCCTTTGACTGTATTGTGCAGGGGTTGGCTGCTGTCTTGAGATGGGCTGTGGTGACAGTTTTCAGCAGGCTGTATATTGTGTGTGTGTGTGTGTGTGTGTGTGTGTGTGTTGCAGAGGGAAGCATGAGGTCACTCAGAGCTGACAAAACAACAAGGTTGGCAGGTAAACAGGAAAAAAAAAAGCTTTCCTGAGGATGTTCGAAAAAGAGCCTGACTGTTTGAGCGAGATGAGAAAAAACATCCCAGAGAACACCCGTCCTCATTCAGCGCTTCTGAGAACCGAAATAGTTCACGGTCTGACTGTGGCCATGAGATCTACAGCGCTGGACTCGCTGTCTGCGGAGGTTTGTGGAATGTGGGCGAAAGGGCCCTCTGAGCACACAGCAGAGTTCGCATCTCTTACTAATGTTAAAGCAAAGATATTCCAGCCATGTGAGATGTCAGCTAACTAATGTTTGCTTTCAGAAGTGTAAAAGTGGGAACATATCCATGTTCCCAGGGTTCTATATTCCCCAGATCACTATCCTCTTAACATGACAATCAAGACCTTTAAAAAGGTATTATGGTCTTAGCAATGTTTTTTCCCTTTAGGTCAAATGTTTAATGTATGTTTCACTGGGTCAACATGTTGAAATCCCACCTACAGCTTATAGCTTACTGAAGTAATATTCCTGGAAACCTACCCCCTCCAATTTGCGGGCAAAACAGTTTTCTTGACTTTAGACATTGATACATCCACAAGGGCTAATCAGATATTTACCACTCAAACTGACTGGTAAACCATTTGAACTGCAAAGACAGACCATACCTATCTCTGACGATATTAGGTTTTATCACGAGACATATACAAATATTTGTAAATCTTTTCAAATTGGTAGGAAGACGGATGTAAAGAGTGACTTATGTTTTACATTAAAGGTATAGTTGGCATGTTTTGGGGTTGTATTAGGTACTTATCCATAGTCAGTGCGTTACCTACAGTAGATGTCGATTAATACGCCTCAAAGTTTGGAGAAGCAGGCTGCAATACCAACACATAGGCTAAATAATGTACTACTGTGCCACCTTAAAAAATCAATATAACTTAAAGTATATGCTATATTTAGAATATTTTCACACTTTACCTTGCATCAGACAGCGATTTCCTATAGGGAACGGCTCTCATTACTCTCTTCAAAGCCAGACTCCATTGAGAAAAACTGTTATTTTCCATCACTGAACACAGGAGCTGCTGGCGTGGTGGTGCCTCAATCAGTTAGTTTGTGCTATTGTGTTGATTTGGTGTTTAGAAGGGTTAGTTCGGATTCACCAAGGTAATACAATAACACAAACAAACTAAATGATCATGGCATGTTCAGCGATGTTAAATCACTGTTTTTCTTGACGAAGTCAGGTGACTGTGTCAAGACCATAGATTTTGAACTGAAGCCATTAAAGGCCTGTCTGAAAGGGCTGTCTGACAGCAAGGCAAAGCGATGAAAATACTCTAAATATAAATATTTGACTTCGCTGAATAGAGTGACGGTAAAGTTTCAGAAAGAAAGCATGGGAAAAAGCTGCAACATGGATGCTGCAGCTAATATGGTATGCATCTTGACCTTTGGGTCACCAGAAAACTTCTGGTGACCCAAAGTCTAACTCTGACGCACAGATCTTTCATTTGCATGCTGCAAAGTAGAGGAAGGAAGGGTGGAGTGATGAATGCATAGAGGTGGGGGGATGAGCGATGAAAATACTCTAAATATAACATACACTTAAACTGATATCGATTTTTTAGGTGGCTTAAATACGTTTTGCTGCTGCCCCCGTCCACAGCAGCACATTGCTTAGCTTCTGTGGCAGTACTCCTGCATGCTTCTCTAAACTGAGGGCGTGTCGACTGCCTTCTACTGTAGGTAACACACGGACTATAGACTTCATACAACCTGACTTCAAAAGATCCGAACTATGCCTTTAAGGGACTATAGAGCTGGGGAACATAGGGATGACCTCCTATAGGGGAGTGTCTCAGAGATTTGTGTGTGAGGCAGAAAGCAAAGAAAAAGCGTGAAAGGTGTGTGTGCATGTGGCAGCAGCAGGCGTGAATCC